ATAGTACCAAGAGGAGGAGGCATAGTTTGGAGCACAATAGTTTCAGCAAATGATACATTTTTGCTTCCGAACATTGGTAATTATGTTTGTGGCAACAAAGGGATATTTTATTAGCTCTGGAAAACTACATTTTTTTGGAGATCCTCAAAAGTGTCCAAAAGCCTATGTTACAGTAATAAGGAAGTGAAATTTTAATTATGGATAGGATAGTATTATTCCATAAATTTTTCATTCTGAATAAAACATGATATATCAAATCAAATTACATGGAAAATAAATTTTCTACATCTTTGCAGGTATCTCTCCCTTTCATACTATTCATCATATATCCATTTATTCTCAGAGATACCACCTTACTGTCAGTTGAGAAGACCTTACATCCCTCTTTACAAAACAAAAAATTTTTGCACATAGGTAAAGCTTTCCTTTTGCCTGTCCATTAGAAACCAGTTCTAATCAGTTTGTGAAACAGTAATGCCCAATAGATGAATAAGTAAATAAAAACTTTACATAGATATGTAGGTGGTGTATGTGTATAATACTGTATAACATATATTTGGATATATCTACATCGTTCTCCAAATTTAAACTATGTACAGTAAGAGTCCGACATATAACATGGCTTAAATACAAGGGAGTTGCTGGCCCTACGTGAAACACTGCAATAGGAGTTTGTTACGATTTGTACTGGAACATTATATTTATCATGAAGAAAACTGTGAAATTTTGGTTGCAGTAAAGAATTGTATGCCAGAAATGATATTTCTGAATACCATTAAAGAGGCAGGAAGATTGAATAAAAAGAACATAGGTTCTGGAGTCAGACTGACTTGGTTTGAATCCCCTTTTAGACACTTAAACCACATGACCATTGGCAGGTTACTTACTCTGAGCCTGGTTTCTTACCTGTAAGATGGGGGAAATTAATTCAGGATTGTTTTGACAATTGAATGAGATAAAGTAAAAACATTTACCACAGTAACTGGTTAATATTAGGCATGTAATAAATATCAGTTACCTTCCATTATCCTAAAAACAGATTTTATTCCAAGTTTGACTTTACCTTCACTTGCAAACTTGCTGATGCCACTCTCCGTTCTAGATCTTCCACCTGTTGAAGGATACTCAAATCCATTTCCATTGCTTGTTCTTCTACTGACCAGTTCTCCACAATATCTCGAGTTACTTGGTTTTCTTCATTTTCATTTAATTCAATAATAGCAACTACATTTGAAAAAAAATTAATTTTAAAATCTATTTTATTAAGTTTTTCCCCTCAGTGATTTTTTCCAGAAAGTAAATAAAATTCCAGTAGTACCATGCACATCTAACTTAACATACACAAATGTACTTGTGCATGTGTAGGTAGCTTACTCTTAAAATAGAAACACTCTAAGAAATACAAAACAATATGTCTGCAGGTATAAAAAATTATAAAAATGTAACACCAATTTAAGAAATATAAATAGTTACTGTTTGTTGAACAAATTAGAAAACAATAGCAATAAATTAAGAAGTAAGATATACGGTCATCCCTCAGTATTCATGGATTGGTTCCAGGAACCCCATGGATACCAAAATCTGTTGATTCTCAAGTCCTTTATATAAAATGGTGTAGTATTTACATACATCCTTCTATGTACTTTAAATCATCTTTAGATTGCTTATAATACCTAATACAATGTAAATGCTACCTAAATAGTTGTTACACTGTATTGTTTAGGGAATAATGGCAAGAAAAAAAATCTTTACATGTTTAGTACAGATGCAACCATCCTTTTTTTTTAAAAGTATGCTCGATCCGTGGTTGGTTGAATCCATGGATGCAGAACACATGAATACGAAGGGCTGACTATACTAAAATATGTTTTAGAATAAGGGAATTAATTCTCATAACTAAGCAAGAGAGCAGAAATCTCTTTTAGATACCTACCATCCTTATTCTTGATGCAGGCTTGAGTAATATAATCCAAGTGTTTCTGAATTTGTTTTTGTAATGCCTTTTCCCTTATTCCTCTGAGATGCAGCACTTTGAGCAAAGCTTTTAGGTCCTCCGGGTCAATAATTCTCCACCAACCAAACTGCATTTCTAAATAAAGGTAAATATGTAAATCTTTTACAAATATTTTGAATAAGAAAGGGCCTAACACAAATCAAAAGATTTATTAACTACATAAAAAACCCATCAAAAATTCAGTTATAATATAGGAATCTATGATAATGAAATAAAGTAAATGGCTAAACCCACCTTAATGTACTTACCTTCTGGAATAGGTTTTGGACTAGGAAAATCTACTGGTTTTGCTACTTCAACAGTTGCAGGTTGAGTTGAAGAGACCTTTTCACTCTGTGGTACTGGAGAATCACTTTTACTTGTGGCAACATTCGAAGTCAAGAATGAATTACCATTTCCTTCTGATAATCCCAACCCTGATCCCAGACTAGGTAAAGGTGACGTAAATGGAATATTGGAAGTAAGCACACCAGTGGGCCACCCACAAAACTGAAGTCCCATCATAGATACTCCACTTTTCATCTACCAAAAAAAAAAACATTTTAAAAGTAGATTAATTTAATAAGTTAAGAAAAATGTTTAGGATCTGAAATTATTTTTCAAATTCTGAAAAAACATTCTTTCACTTATCACAATTAGAGGAAAACTAAGTACACTTGAGACAACAATGTTAAATTCTATGTTCTTATTTGTCCTCCAAAGTAACTTCCCTTTTAGGTATACTGTAACAGTAATACGTTAAAAAGTAATTAAGGAAGACTTAGTCATAGGCACAGCAGTTCCTAACCTTTTTGGCACCAGGGACTGGTTTTATGGAAGACAATTTTTCCACAGATGAGGTGGTGGAGGGTGTAGATGGTTTAGGGATGATTCAAGCACATTACATTTATTGTGCTTTATTTGTATTATTAAAACATTGTAACAGATAATAAAATAATTATATTAATACACCTCACCATAATGCAGAATCTAATGCTGCCACTTATCCGGCAGGAGGCAGAGCTTATGCGGTGATCCCCACCTGCTGCTCACCTCCTGCTGTGTGGCCGGTTCCTAACAGGCCATTGAGTAGTGCAGGTCCACAGCTCGGGGGTTTAGGACCACAGGGCTAGAAATTAGTAGTTCTAATGAAGCTTTGTGACAGAAATTCTGACTTGTTTCACTTTTCAAACTGTGGCAGGGATACTATTCAACTGATCCCCCTTGAGTGAAAATCTTCATGGGGTCAAAGATTACATAAAGCAATATAAAAATGAGTTACAGGCCAGGCGCGGTGGCTCACGCCTGTAATCCTAGCACTTTGGGAGGCTGAGGCGGGCGGATTGTTTGAGCTCAGGAGTTTGAGACCAGCCTGAGCAAGAGCGAGACCCCCGTCTCTCCTAAAATTAGAAAGAAATTAATTGGACAACTAAAAATATATAGAAAAAATTAGC